TCATCACAAAGTCCAACAACTCCTTCTCACACACTGTCTACCGAAAACATACCCATACTAACCGCTACCTCAATGACAATCCCGTCTCCCAAATACAAAGATCCATCCAACGACAGCAAACACAAACCCCACCCCACGAGTTACCCGAGGAACAGACCAACCAGACAAAAGCTTTTCTCACCTATATGCATGGAGTCACTGACAAAGTGAGCCGAATTCTGAAGAAACATAACTTGAAGACAGTATTCACAGCCAACAACCAAATCTCCATTATGATAAGAACACCCAAGGACACGATACCCAATGAAGCACAGGGCATATACGAAATATCATGTTCAAACTGCCCCAGAACTTACATCGGCCAGACCAATAGAAGAATTTCCAACAGAGCCTATGAACATGAACTGGCGGTTCGCAAATCAGATCCAGCATCATCTATCTTCAAATACCATCAGGAAACAGGCCACACAATAAACTTCGGAAACACCAAGACCATTGCTACGGAGAAAAATCTTCAGGCAAGGATAATTCGGGAAGCAATCGAAATTGAAAAACGTCCCAACTGCCTCAACAAGCGAGATGATTCGCAGAGACTACCACAAACATAGAGAACATTGATTTCACGCAAGATACCTGTAAATGACTCAGGTACACGGTCAGGCAAACTAGATATCTGCTACAATAACATAAATATGGGCTTCGAACAACACAGTGACCAGTACGAACTTAGAGTGGAACACAGCACACATAGAACTAGTAACGAGACTTGGGGACAAGGGAGATTACGACCTCGTTTTCGAGTCATGTAAGTACTACAGATTGGCCAGCCCGCTCGTCAGATTTGACATCTTTGGACTCTTACTTTTTTATGGGGCTATGGCAAAAGGTGTACGGAATTGAACCTTCTTCATTATTGGATATACGACAGAGAATAATTAATATTTGTAGAGATATTGACGTTAAGGTGTACCAAACTGAACCTGCTTCAATATTGGGTATACGGCAGAGAATAATTAATATTTGTAGAGATATTGACGTTACTGTGTTCCAAAATGTTCGGCGTGAAATATCGGATAGGCTGTTCATATGTCAAGAAGTTGAAGGCAACCATTTCGGGCATCTTCTGAACTGGTCTCAAGCTTTATACCTCATATTATGTAGTTAAATGTCATTCAGGCAATTATTGAAAGTTCCGCGATTTTGTATTAATTGAAAATATTGACATTATATTCTAGGGTTGTGAAGCATTTGTAGGGAGCTTTAAAAAGATGCGTCACAAAACCGCCTTTCCTTTTAATTTTTTTCCCAGATGGCGCCCAGTCGTCATTTCGAAACCTTCATCTGTCAATTCCACACTCACAATTTTTCAAGTTGACCCGTTCAAGAAATGATAAGGGGGGGCACTGAAGGAAAGCAGTGTTCATGTATAATTTCTTCCAATTTTTACACACTCACTAACATCTATATCTGTATTCATATCCTGGACCTGAAAGTCTCGCAGGTAGTTATAGCTGCCTACGTGCAGCCACCATGCATATGCGATGTCCATCTTTGCACAAAAACATTTGTCTGCGGTTTTCTCCTTTTCGATGTATATATCCTCCGTTTTCGATTTATATGTCCTCAGGACCACTAAAATATATAAATTAACATATTTCTCTACACAAATCGGTATACTTACTATGATTACTTGAGATTCAATGGAAAATTACTATACTGATTGAATTGACTCTGAAATTGAATACTTTTTTTCAGGTTTTTGCTGTGTTATTTTTTTCGATGTTGTTTATCTTAGGAGTTGGAAGCCTGATAGCTCTCTATGCTAGTGCTTCTACTGTGATCATGGATTCATATCCTCACCTGAACATTTCATATGTTTCTTTTGGTACTGCTGTTGTGGGATTCATCATTGGACTTGTTTATATCACTCCGGTAAGTTTCATAGATTTGATGCATCCGTCAGTATCAACTTCACAATTTTTGTTAAAATCAACAGAAAAATTTTATTTATTGGTGTCACTGAATGCTATTTTGAATGTCATACTCCATGACATCGAATATATCGTTGAAAAATATTATCAGATATATTGATTATCTCTCATCATGCACATAACACTTTCAAAATATTCGATAGATATTATACACTTTCTGAAGAAATATTGAAACCCATTTTTTTTTCATCTGCCTTCATACCCCTAAACTTTGGTTGATGTTATTTAAATTTTAGAGTTTTTTAGAGAATTTTCTGATCCTATCATCTCTGCTAATCTACTGAATCGAGCATATTTCAACGTCAAAATTATAACATTTCTTCATCAAAACATTCGAATCTATTGATAGAACGATGAAAGCTGAACAAAATTTTAATCCTGTGAATTATACCGTTCATAACTCAGGAATGGCTAGACCGGTTTTCATGAATGTTAGTTCATTACATATGTCTTCGCCCGAAATAGCAAATGACAGCTGTCAGGAGGCGTGCACATATAATTGAGGTTATCACTTTCGTGATTATGCGTGCATGAATAATTGTTATATTATTTCAAAAGTGAAGTCAGCAATATGCATCATAGCGAGAAAATGTAAATTTTCACTGCAGATCGAATAAAAGTAGTAAAAGAGTAGCGCCCTGTTTGGCCGGTTCGAAAGTGCCTAGATAATCATATCGAGTTTTTTTTCGCAGGAGTTATCATTGAATACTTCTAAATAATTGAGTTTGTAACCCTTCCTTGCATAGTGCAAAGTTTTCGTATCGTTTGGATTGGGGGACTTATGGTTGCATGCCAAGTAATTGTTTGAAAACGTCGAATCTTTTTTTCCTAGTCTGAAGGACCTTTCATGTTCAGCATGCCATTTTTGGAAATTTCGACCACATTGTACCACGTGAACAGTATTACACTCCGGACACTTGAGCTTATAAACTCTAGATTTCTCCAACTTGTACACCTAGCATGTGGTCTGAATGCCACATGCCAGTTTCGTATACAAATAGTCCGGTAAGAGAACTAGGAATACATATTAACCAGTTGTTCAAAAATATCATCAATTTGGTCCCACCTCACACGTGGGACCAAAACAAATTGGTTCCTCAACCTAACCACGCCACATATAATTCAATTTTAGTTTCATTCGATGTAAAGAGTATGGTCTCCAACCTACCGTACAAGCAGTGTAAGCCCCTCATTTTAGATAGAATCAATAGATTTCCATGTGTGCCTGAATCAGAGCTACATACAATTCAGCAAACAATTTTATAAACAGGATTCAGGTTCACCAATGGGCTCACCCCATAGTCCAGTTTTAGCAAACATATTCATGAACACCTTGGAGACCACTATAGGAAATTCCGACCTGGGTAAAATACATATTCATTTTTGGTACAGATATGTAGACGATATTCTCGCCTGTTGCAGAGGTACTACACGACAGCTGAACCAATTCATGACATTCATGAATAATCTCAATAGCAACATTCACTTCACATTCGAAACAGAGATAGAGGAAGAGATAAATTTTTTAGACCTGACCATTACACACGATCAGAATGAATTTGAGTTCAATGTTTTCAGAAACCTAGCTGTACAGACATCACCATCCCAAGCGATTCTTTTCATCCAGGCAGTCATAAATTAGCAGCCTACAATTCAATGTTGCACAGAGCATTCCCACTGCCTTTGTTTGCTAACAATCTTGCTAGGGAAATTGATATGATTACACATATTGGTCATAATAATGGTTTCAACGCAGATACTATCCAGAAGTCAGTCAGACAACAAAGCCGTAAATTCACTTACAGATTAATATACCCTCAGGTCAAACAACCAGAAATCCAAAAATGGTCAACTCTAACATATTTTGGAAAAAGAAGAGAGATAATTGCGAGTTTTTTCAGAAAAAAACAATGTGGAAGTGGCATTCAGACCACATGCCAGGTCATCTGATTTTCTTTTCAATGCCAAAGATAAGGTGGACAAGTTGGAGCAATCTGGAGTTTATAAGCTCAAGTGTCCGGAGTGAAATAGTGTTTACGTGGGACAATGTGGTCGAAATTTCCAAAAACGGTGTGCTGAACGTGAAAGGTCCTTCAGACTAAGAAAAAATAATTCGACGTTTTCAAACCATTCCTTGGCATGCATACACAAGTTTCCGAATCTGAACGATACAAAAATGCACACTATGCAAGGAAGGGTTACAAACTCAATTATTCTGAATCCTTGGAAATTCACAAGCATAAACATTGCGGGTGCAACCTGTTGAATGATCAAGTTGATTTAATTTACTCACCGGTTTTCAAATTAGCATATTCGCATTGTAACTAGTAAACAAAATTCATGTACTCAATCACCAAGTACCTCTATTATTACCTACAGGGGTTCTATACAAAGGCTAATGTAATGAACCATTAAGCTGAAGACTACAACAAACAAACCATTGTTAGATTAATGTATAAGTTTGAAAATGTCCTTATAAGACAAAACTGCAGTGAAGTTTGTTACAAATAAAAGTGGTAAAAAACATAGAAAGTTTTCAATTCTCTTTTTATTATGATTTCAAACCAAGTAGTAACGGCTACATGCATCAATCTATTCTGTTAAGAGATGTCTGTTGTGGTCAGTTGCTAATCTTTTCGATAACAATGAGCCAAACAGTTTCAAAATTATGATAAATTTTTCCATCTAAATAGGTATGTCGTCATGTTTTAATTTATCTACTGTTAATGCATGCAATTCATTGAACGGTGTATTATATCAAATTGACATTCATCACTTCATTATGGTTGAAGCGATTGTTTGTTTATGTGAAGTAATTCGGGAAAACCATGAAAACAACTCTACAGTAATTTATTCCAGGTAGATGAATGAATGACTTCAAACCCCTGGCTGGTTTTTTGCAATAGGTATATATTCCTCAATCTCCAGGAAAATCTCCTTCATGAACTTTAGGCACATCGAAATTTTATGGGATCATTCAATAATGAAAATCAATCTCCAAAAAGATGACAACTAAACAGAGGCCTATGTGATAAAAAAATTCCCAAGCAATCGGTTGATGGTTATAACAAAAGTGTTACACATATTCAAGAGTTATTATGGTTTCAGAGCGATCAGAAATGAAGTTTTATGTTATGCAATAAATTCAATTTCTCTTGTGAGTCGAAAAGGATATATCATTTATATACAGAAAACTTGACTAACCTACAAATGAAAAAAAAAAGAAATGAATAACACATAAACTATTGTCAAATCTAGGTTACAAAAATATGTTCTAAATATTCAAAGATTGAGTGAAAACATTATCTCAGGAGATAGTATTTCACTGTTTTCTTCAAAACTTAGATTGACAGAGAACTGTGAACTCAAGGAGAGGCCATTATACAAATTATAGTCCAGGCTTTTTTCCTGAGAATTTGTTGAACGAATTCGTTCTATTCAAACTGAACTGGCATTCCGTGTGTTGTAGGTATGTGCATCATACTGTCTGATCAAGGAACTCGACTGAACTGCAAATATGTATAGGTGATGACATTATCTTAAATTTTATGATAATTTTCCGACAACACGTTTATTCTCTCGAGAAGTGACAACGAAGAACTCTTAAGTGTAGGTGATGTAGTGAATAATATGGTAAAAAGTTAGTTCATAATAGATCATCTTGAATTAAATGCAGAATAAACCCAAAATTTGCATTTTTCTGCGCGTACTGTTAATGAAACGTGAAAGAGGTAAAATTATTAGAAATAATGCTCCACAATATTTATTTTAGGTCAACTGAGTGATGTAACTAGTCCCATACTCTAAAAACAACCAAGTTTTCTCTTTTTCACTCTTCCATTAGCTATGGTGTAGTTTTCTGAGAAAATTCTACGGGAGCTGCGCATATTTTCAAGATTCAAGAAAGAACTATACGAATCACCAGTCTCTAGTTGAAGAGAACATTGCTAACATATCTTCATGAAATTTAAGATAATGTCATCACCTACATTATACATATTTGCAGTTCAGTCGAGTTCCTTGATCAGACAGTATGATGCACATACCTATAACACACGGAATGCCAGTTCAGTTTGTATAGTACGAATTCGTTTAACAAATTCTCAAAAAAATAGCCTGGACTATAATTTGTATAATGGCCTCTCCTTGAGTTCAAAGTTCTTTGTCAATCTAAGTTTAAAAAAAAACAGTGAAATACTATCTCCTGAGATAATGTTGTCACTCAATCTTTGAATATTTAGAACATATTTTTGTAACCTAGATTTGACAATAGTTTATATGTTACTTATTTCTTTTTTTTTCATTTGTAGGTTAGTCAAGTTTTCTGTATATAATTTTCCTGTTTGGCTCATTGTTATCGAAAAGATTAGCAACTGACCACAACAGACATCTTTTAACAGAATAGATTGATGGATGTAGCCGTTACTACTTGGTTTGAAATCATAATAAAAAGAGAATTGAAAACTTACTATGTTTTTTGCCACTTTTATTTGTAACAAACTCCACTGCAGTTTTGTCCTATAAGGACATTTTCAAACTTATACATTAAACTAACAATGGTTTATCACATTAGCCTTTGTATAGCACCCCTGTAGGTAATAATAGAGGTACTTGGTGATTGAGTACCTGAATTTTCTTCAATAGTTACAATGCGGATATGCTAATTTGAAAACCGGTGTAGAACGCCGCCCCTGTCTAGTTAAGTAAGAGGTGTTTCGCGCAGTGTATGTGGTCACCACGGGACTATTTCGCAGAGGTGACGGGAAGAAGTCCCTTCTTTTTCCAAAATATGTTAGAGTTACCCATTTTTTGATTTCTGGTTGTTTGACCTGAGGGTATATTAATCTGTAAGTGAATTTACGGCTTTGTTGTCTGACTAACTTCTGGATAGTATCTGCGTTGAAACCATTATTATGACCTATATGTGTAATCATTTTAATTTTCCTAGCAAGATTGTTAGCAAACAAAGGCAGTGAGAATGCTCTGTGCAACATTGAATTGTAGGCTGCTAATTTATGACTGCCTGGATGGAAAGAATCGTTTGGGATGGTGATGTCTGTATAGCTAGATTTCTGAAAACATTGAACTCAAATTCATTCTGATCGTGTGTAATGGTCAGGTCTAAAAAATTTCTCTCTTTCTCTATCTCTGTTTCGAATGTGAAGTGAATGTTCCTATTGAGATTATTCATGAATGTCATAAATTGGGTCAGCTGTCCTGTTTTACCTCTACAACAGGCGAGAATATCGTCTTCATATGTACCAAAAATGAATATGTATTTTATCCAGGTCGGAATTTCCTATAGTGGTCTCCAAGTTGTTCATAAATATGTCTGCTAAAACTGGACTGAGGGGTGAGCCCATTGGTGAACCTGAATCCTGTTTATAAAATTTTTTGTTGAACTGTAGGTAGCTCTGATTTAGGCACACATGGAAATCTATTGATTCTATCTAAAATGAGGGGCTTATACTGCTTGTACGGTAGGTTGGAGACCATACTCTTTACATCGAATGAAACTAAAATTGAATTATATGTGGCGTGGTTAGGTTAAGGAACTAATTTGGTTTGGTCCCACGTGTGAGGTGCGACCAAATTGGTAATATTTTTGAACAACTGGTTAATACGTATTCCTAGTTCTCTTACCGGACTATTTGTATACGAATCTGGCATGTGGCATTCAGACCACATGCTAGGTGTACAAGTTGGAGAAATCTAGAGTTTATAAGCTCAAGTGTCCGGAGTGTAATAATGTTTACGTGGTACAATGTGGTACAATGAAAGGTCCTTCAGACTAGGAAAAATTGCGAGTTATTTCAGAAAAAAACAATGTGGAAGTGGCATTCAGACCACATGCCAGGTCATCTGATTTTCTATTCAATGCCAAAGATAAGGTGGACAAGTTGGAGCAATCTGGAGTTTATAAACTCAAGTGTCCGGAGTGAAATATTGTTTACGTGGAACAATGTGGTCGAAATTTCCAAAAACGGTGTGCTGAACGTGAAAGGTCCTTCAGACTAGGAAAAAATAATTCGACGTTTTCAATAGTATGGGACTAGTTACATCACTCAGTTGACCTAAAATAAATATTGTTGAACATTATTTCTAATAATTTTACCTCTTTCACGTTTCATTTACAGTACGCGTAGAAAAATGCAAATTTTGGGTTTATTCTGCATTTAATTCAAGATGATCTATTGTGAACCAACTTTCTACCATTTTATTCACTACATCAGCTACACTTAAGAGTTCTTCGTTATCACTTCCCGAGAGAATAAATGTGTTGTCGGAAAATTATTTTGAATTGAATGCAGATTAAACCCAAAATTTGCATTTTTCTCCGCGTACTATAAATGAAACGTGAAAGAGGTGAAATTATTAGAAATAATGTTCAACAATATTTATTTTAGGTTATATCTAGAAAAATTGAATATTAGTGGCCCCAGTACTGATCCTTGGGGCACTCTGTGCTTTACAACTTTATATTGAGGTATTGAATTATTTAAGTTCACTGCTTGACTGCTTGATAACGAATAGATAAATATGTATCAATGAGAGACCCCTCTGAAACCATAGTAGTTTCTCCAGAAGTATATGATAGGAGATACAGTCGAGAGCCTTGGAGCGTGATTGACGTATAAGTACCCTGTTCAAATCCCTCGACCACAGCTCTTGCGACATTCAAAACAGCATGGTGTTTTTCAAAATAGGAGTAAATCCGATGTTTAATTATTTTTTCTAGTATTTTTGAAAAGACAGATATTATTGAAATGTGTATCTTTTGAATCTCATGAATTCCTTCAGAACAATGGATATTTTCATGTTTCGGGATATTTCAGGGAGGGCAGTGGATATTTACAATGGTAGACTTCTACGCAGGAACTGCAATATTTTTCTTCATGAATACAAGTGAAATAATCATCATCGCTTGGTGGTATGGTAAGTTTTCATGACTAACAAGCTCAATAATATTCAAATGATACTTTATAGGTATTGAGGATATTTGTAAGGATATTGAATTTATGCTAGGAAGAAAAACGGGCATATATTGGAGAATGTCTTGGGGACTCATCATACCCGTAGCTTTATTAGCGGTGATGGTGTATTTCCTCAGTAACTTAGAACCGCTGAGGTATGCGGATAACATTTATCCGATTACTGTAGAAGGTAATACAAGATATAATTTATTCAAAATAAATTTTTGAACATTTTCATAATTCGAAAATGAGGGAGAATATTATTACCATTGAGTTACATAACATTTATAGTATAAATTATAATATAAATGACGAATTGTACTTGTAACACTGTCAGGTTGTAACTAGAAACTGTAACTTAAGATTGTAACTAACATTTATTTCGCCGTACAGGATAATAAATAAAAACGCTGCTAGATGAGCTTCCGGGTAAATAATGGATACTATCTGCCGCCTGGCAGATAGTATCCATTGCCTAGAAAGCCTAGAAACGAGTAGGAGCCGGATGTCGACTTGTTTACATCTTCAGAGAATAAATGGTAGGGGTCATCAATGGGCATATGTCATACATATTCATAGATATTCATATTTCTTCATGATTACATTTTTTCAGTTGATATCAGGTTAGACTGTATTCTTTATGTGCAAATTATTACGTTTCGCATGAAAAAACAAAATATTGAGAAAGTGAGAGTTGTCTGTGGTTTCCTATTTTGAATTTTCATCTCTGCATACGAAAATCACAATGAAAGTTTATGTTTCAAAAAGTACATCTGTAAAAAATCTGAATTTTCACTCTTTATCTTCCCCCTCAAATTAAAAGTTGACTGTGGCGTTCACCAAAACGGGACGTGGTAAGCTTGGCGTCACATCAGTCGACTCGGCGACAAGGGAGTGCTGGCGGATAAGCGAAATACGTGTGCTAAAGCCGTAGGCTAATTGCACACACACCGATTTTGGACGGCCAGTATAAAATAGGCTGATATTTTATTGGTAGCGGGTGCTTGCAGATTCACCGGATTTTTATCGGTCACGATAAAAAACCGGTGAGTATGCAAGAGTGTATTTGGCTATAGTCTATTTCAAAAGAGTGTAGAGTAATAAATCATGAAGTGTCATAAAATTTGCCTGAATTTCGTTGTCGTCCATGGGCGTAGGCAAATCTTAGGATTATTAAACTTAATAATTAAAGTAAATTAAAAATTACAGACATAGATAATAATAAAAGGCCATTTTTGGGAAGTAATTTGGTCTAAAACTAAGTACCTACATGTATTTAGGTAAGTAAAATTTCTTAAAAAAAGATTAAGATTAATTTTAGTGGTTCTTGTAAACTTATTTAATATGCAATTTGGGTTCATATACTTGAGCATGATTTCTCAAAAAAGGGTTAACACTTAGTTCCGAGGTGCCATGTCATTATAATAATCCCTTTTTGACCCTGCCCACCAATCATGCAATACCTATTAAAC